CCCTGTACAGCATTCAACAAATTTCAGCTTTCAGAAGGAGAAAGGTTTGACCTAAATGATAACATTCCCTTCTCAGAGAAAAACATTCATTCGTTGTCACGGCAAGCATTCTCCGTGACCCTTGGTACGTTTTCTTAACCACAGGCTGTCAGGAGGTCACCTCCAACAGACCCTCTCTCTGCTCCTGAGGACAGAGTCAGCACAAATATGCTAACGAATCTCTTGGCATGAAGGGGAGTCTTGAATTAAATGGTTGAAAGGCATTTTTTTCCTGCCTTACAATTTGGCCATCTTTCCCTTTATGCAGTAAAACCTCCTATAGTTTGGAATTTATGACCCTTTGGATGGGGACTGGGCACAAGTCAGCTTCTGGACTATTCTGTATGGAAAAGATTTTTGAAGAAAATTAACAGCCTGCCAAAAGAATTATCAAGGGAGTGCTTATTTTATTTAAGAGGGCCATTTTTCCAGCCCTTTACCAACACTCTCCACAAACAATTGATATGCTAATTTCAAATGAGTTTTACATGTTCATTAAGTGCTCAACTACTATTTGGTGATATGATCATTTCAATTTGGGCTGGTGAGCTAGGTTTTGCACTTTGAGCCTAAACTTCTTGCCTACAAACTTTTCCGGACTAAGCAATTAACAAAGAGAATTAATTAATGCCAGGCACAAGGACTAGACTTCTTTGGCGGGGACAAAGAGAGGATTGGATCTCTTACACTCCAAGTATCCTGTTGATTCATGCTGGCTCTCTTCTTAGCTAGTATGGGGTGAAGTTTAACTATGGAGACCCTATATCCTGGTCTGTTGGATTAGTTCCTATTAGATCTTCCATCCTGGAATAACTAACAGAAAATTCTTTCACTCTCTATATGAATGATAAATTATATACTCGCTCTGGATTTGATGGGTTAAAATTATGATTTTCAAGGAGTTTGAATCTGCTCTATAGACTGACAGTATCTGGTCATCTCTATACAAACCAAAAGAATACTCCACAGAGAATACAGTCAATTCTGAATCCAGATGATTCTTCAGCCCTCTACCCACTAACTGAAAGAGTCAGATCAGAAAGCAGCTAACCTTCCCTCAGGGAAGGGAATTAGGAGACCACACCCACCCCACTTCCTGTGTGTTCATTTCATCTCAATGTGGTTGCCTGTCAGAAGTTGAATTCCACCATTTTTACTGCCAGCATTATTGGGGGGAGGAATGGGTAGGCATAAAGAACACAGTACTGGAAGGAATAGGTGATTTTCTTTGGCCATTAGAAGATCTGAGCTGTTTGTTTTAGAGGCAATATCAATTAAACAATCACCATGCACCACACACGACAGGCAGTGCTTTCCTTGACTCAATCCTTGTAACTCACTGTCTGAAAGGGTTACTATTATTATTTCTATGTTCAAGCTGACAGAAGAGGCATAGCAAGGTAAAGCCACTTGCCTAGGACAGCCAGCTAAATGGCAGAGCCAGGACAGAAATCCAGGTTTGTGTGAAACTCAAGTCTGAGCTCTTAACCACTATGATATATCGCCTCTCACTCTGCTATACTGTTCTGACATTTGAGTCAGACATCTGCTTGCAATTTGATACATTGTAAAGCTACTGCCTCATCAAGTATGCCTTACTAGGAGAGGAAGATGGGGACTAGGGACGGTTTTGCTCAGAGCACAGTTGTATGATGTATGCATATTGTAACCAAAAGAATACTCCACAGAGAATACAGTCAATTCTGAATCCAGATGATTCTTCAGCCCTCTACCCACTAACTGAAAGAGTCAGATCAGAAAGCAGCTAACCTTCCCTCAGGGAAGGGAATTAGGAGACCACACCCACCCCACTTCCTGTGTGTTCATTTCATCTCAATGTGGTTGCCTGTCAGAAGTTGAATTCCACCATTTTTACTGCCAGCATTATTGGGGGGAGGAATGGGTAGGCATAAAGAACACAGTACTGGAAGGAATAGGTGATTTTCTTTGGCCATTAGAAGATCTGAGCTGTTTGTTTTAGAGGCAATATCAATTAAACAATCACCATGCACCACACACGACAGGCAGTGCTTTCCTTGACTCAATCCTTGTAACTCACTGTCTGAAAGGGTTACTATTATTATTTCTATGTTCAAGCTGACAGAAGAGGCATAGCAAGGTAAAGCCACTTGCCTAGGACAGCCAGCTAAATGGCAGAGCCAGGACAGAAATCCAGGTTTGTGTGAAACTCAAGTCTGAGCTCTTAACCACTATGATATATCGCCTCTCACTCTGCTATACTGTTCTGACATTTGAGTCAGACATCTGCTTGCAATTTGATACATTGTAAAGCTACTGCCTCATCAAGTATGCCTTACTAGGAGAGGAAGATGGGGACTAGGGACGGTTTTGCTCAGAGCACAGTTGTATGATGTATGCATATTGCTATGAAACCGGTGAATTGAATGTATGTATGCTTCTATCCTGGTACTGAATTATCTTCAGAGATAGACTTCAAATATCCTGGGGAAGTTCACTGAGGGGGTAGCCCTCATCTATAAACAAATATTAAATGTGTAACTAACAGGGCTGGCTGGTGGTTCATCCATGCCTTCCCCCTCCTCCCTGTAGATCTGCTGACTGTGAACTGGGCTTGACTCATGGACCTAAACAACATTTTTGATGAGACCAAGTCCCCAGACTGCCTCTAGAGGAAGCCAATGGGGCCCAGCTGAAGCTATGCCAGTGTCTCTGTCCCTGTCCTTCCTAACAACTCTGTTTTAGAAACGTGGTACTTCACTGTGAAGTATAGAACATTAAAAAAGAGGTGGAAATGGACCATCACTGGATGTGGCTGGCTTGGATGAGAATGGGGATGATTTGGGTTTTAGGGACAGTCTGTTAAAAGACAACTCAAACTCTGCCTTTCCTGAAGACTTGAATACGGCTGCTCCAGGCTCACTTTCCACCCCAAACCAGGAGTTGCAGCTATCAAACTAGAATTTATTCTACAGAAAGGCCACGCCTGTTAGAGAAGTATTGAGAGCATCCTTCCAGCATGACATACATTAGGGGCTTACTGCACAGACTCTCACCTGGGGAGTGGTTTCTAAGCAAAAGGAGACGCAGAACATAAAAAGACACCAGGAGAGAAATGACATCTGGGTGGGGAGGGTTAGCTATTGCAAGAGTCTCAGATGGATTAAATTAGCATTTGGATAATGCTACAGAAAAGAATGAGGGTTGGGGGACCTTGTGGGCAATTTCTATGATTGAGAATATGACCAAGAAAAGGGCATGACAGTAACACACTGACAGGCAAAGAGCATGTGCCACACCGGGAGGACATTAGGCATTCTCTGAGTTAAGAGACCATCAGGAATCTTCTCTCCTTTCCCTGCATCCCTGAAATATATGGAAGACTCTGGACCAAATGCCATACTTCTAGTTTCCTATGAAATTCCCTTTAGTCTCTTCTACAAGGGCATATTCTTTGGCCGCCGCAGCACCTGATTTGCCAGCAGTAGGTACACTCCAAAGGTGGAATGCATGGCAGAAACCCAGGAAGATAAAACCACCGATTTGAAAACTCTCTACAAAGAACCTCCTTCCAGGCAGAGAAACACCAGCTTTGGATGGCATTTGGTGTTACCGTTCCATTCTTCAGCCTGTGTCAGAGGGTGTCCCCTCATTCCCATCCACAAATACCACCTGCTGTTGCTGCTTGCAGCTAGCTGGCCACATCCTGCCAGCCCATCAGGTTTCCAGTCCACCCATTCCCAACACAGGGCACCCATTTTTCTAAAGACCTGTGTGAGCTAAGTCCCTATCAGACTATGAAAAGTTCTCCAGTCTGTTTGATTCTTTTGATATGATTCCGTGGCATCCACTCCACACCCTGTGGAAAGTTCTGGTTCAGTTGTACCAGAGCAGGCATTCTGTCTGAAGCACTTTCCCAGACGTGTTTTCAATCTACTCCCTAAATGCAGCCTGCCAGGATTAATCAGTCCTCCAAGTGGTCTCCCCTGATCCGCTTCTTTCTTTTTCTCCCACTGAACCACTCATCCAACACCAGCAAAAAGATGAGTTTCCTACTGCCTTGATTTTCCCTGACAGAGGGCACAGCCTTCTTCCTTTCATTCTCAAACTCCTCTAACTGGGATGGTTTGTGAAAAGAATTGGGTTTTCTCTGTCTTGGAATGCTCTTGTTCTCCCCAACCTCCCCTCTGTTTCACCCCACATTCTCTTCTTCCTCTTTCTTTCTTTCAGTTCTCTTACCCTCCTCCCATCCCACTATTTCCACTGCCATCTAAGGACCTGTTCTCAGCCCCGAGTTCAAAGCAACCTGATCCTTTTTGAGAAACCAAATAAAACTCTTCCAAGACCATCTTCACAATCTTGGAAGCGCCCCCCACCCCCCGACTCTTGAGCTCAGAGTCCTGGTTTTGGATGCTGGAGAGGAGAGAATTCAGCAGCAGCAGCCAGAAAGAAGTGGAGGAGGGTGCTGTTTAGGGTGTATTTGAGGGAACAGCATATGGGCTTTTGTCAAGATGTTCAGAGCTTGCTGGTTTCTGAGCTGAGTATAGAAATGTACCGCTACCTCTGAATACTGCTTGAGCTGGCTCAGCTCTCATCTCCTCTTCCCGTACAACACCTCCAACCACCTCAAATCCACCATTGCTTCACCCCGCCTCCTCTGAGCAATGTGATACCAAAAAAAAGTTTCTCAGTCAAGTCATACCTCACCTACACCACCCACCCTAAGAAAACATTACCTCTAGACTAGCAACTCCCAGGTCAGTGACCATTGAGTGTCACTCTCTCTAAAGACTCTGTCCCTTCTCACCAGGTTCCACCTCATACAAGCCATTAGTTCCCATGTTCCAGCGGGAGATACCTAGTAGTGATGGGAAAAGACAGACGCCCTGGCCCAGCTGCCTGCATCCACCCCTCAGGTCTCAGGGGTACAGGCCAGAAAGGGGGAACATCAGGGTCTCCTCTCTTAAGGAGGAAGTCCTTACCTTGGTAGCGGTTTGCGGGCTGTGATACTGGCGACAATGATGCTCTCGGGACGCGGGGTGGCCACAGCTTTAAAGGTTCCTCGCCAGAACTTCTCAAAAAGCTGCTTCTCTCCTTGCTGAACGCTCGCCATAGCCAACCCCAAGGGGCCGGGGCGCCCGGGCGCTGTCCGAAGTGCTGAAACGTGGCTTCCAAACGGGGGCACACCCGGCTTCTGGCTCTGTCCGCGTGAAACCCAGAGGGGTGGGGTGGGAGAGACCGGGGTTCGGGGAGGGGGATGGGACGCCTCAGCCCGGGCAGGCAGGGGAGAAAGAAGGCTGTCCACCGCCTTTCTTCGCCTTCCGGGTTGGCTCTGGGCTGCGCTCTGAGCTTGCTGAGCCTCCGCGTCCCAGGAAGGGGAGGGAGGCTGGGTTTCTCGGCAGCGCCAGGAGGGAAGAGGCGACGGGGTCGTCTGTGTGTGCGTGCGCGTGTGAGCTCAGGCGCGCCCTGGTTTTGTCTCTCGCACAATGTGACGTTGGGAGAGAAGGCTGGTCGCGCGAGCTGCACTTTGCTCCCTCCCTCGGTCTCTCCGCCCCCCCACCAACTCCCTCCTCCTCCGGCTCAGCCTCCTGCCGCCATCTGCATAACAAAAGCCTGCAGGTCCTGGGAGGAGAAAGGGCGGGGCGTGCGTCTGTCACCGGGGCCCCGGGCTACCGATTTGCAGCGCTGACCCCTCGGAGAAGCAATCCCCGCACCCCGAACTGAACCTGGCAAGAGATCCGGCTTCCCAGCCCGCTCTTCTCCACCGTAGCGGGCCTTCCCTCGCCCCTCGTTGCGTGCCCTGAGGGCTCAGCCACCTCCCTGCCACCCCTTCGCAAGTATTCTAGCGGGTCTTCTATTGAGGGGGGAAGTAAAAGACTTAAACCCATTTGCCCAACCTGCCCCCTCACTTCTGAGAGGGACTGCCTAGGCCAGCAATGGGGGCCCTCTGCATTCCTCTTTGCGCCTGGCCACCGCGAGATCCCCAACACCCAGGAAGTGCCGTTTGATGGACAATCCGTCTCCAATTCGGCTTCTCGCCATCTGCCAAGCCGGCCCCCGCCCGCAGAGGGGTGCAGCGTTACATCTGTGCGTGACGAGCTGTAAGGGATATTTCTTTTGTGCCTCATAGCCAGCCAGCCCAATGTCCCTGCTGCCAAACCCTGCCAAAGGAAAGAGTGCCCCGACCCCACCCCATCCCATCCACTCCTGGGGAATGCGGCTGCAGCCACTTTCCTTAATGCAGCTGCTCTCCGGAGAGGAGTCCCTTTGGGAAAAGAAAGAGCTTAGGGGGAGGAATTTGAGGGGGCTAATCTGAGGGTTACAAGTTACTTTTTGGTCTTTCTCCCCATCTCCCCACTCCCAGTTCAACCTTAATCCCAGAAAGTGAGAGTTTAGAATCACAAATAAACTCTAGATGGAGAGGGTCTGGGCAGAATTTCTCTGGTTTTACCCCCCAGGGTTCTCATTAAGAAAAAGAGAGTTGCAGTACCCCTCAGCCCATCTCTCCCTTGGAGCCCTTTCATCTCTGCAGAGTTGTTACTCCCACTCTTCAGGCTGCAAATTCCTGGAAGGACACCTCGCCAAGTCTTAAAGGCCTCCAAGCATCTGGCACTCAGTCTCGGCCTCTTGCTGATGCGGACAGTGATGGGGGACCAAGGGGGACTAGCAACATGTGAACTTAAGACATTTTTCGAAAGGGAATGGGAGAGAAAGGGGAGGAGGAACACAGACCAAAATGGGGGAGGAGAAAGAAGAAAGACCCCCGGAGTAAGCGAGTACCAACCCAGAAGCGAATACACATTTGGATTTTTGGTTTTTTTGTGTGCGAGTTTATGAGCGCCTGAGAGCGCTGCTCGCTCTGCAGTGACCCCTTCTGGTCTACAAGGAGGATTGCATTTGCAGGCTTCTTAAGTGGGTTGAGGCGGCCAGGAGGCTGGGCTGGGGCTGGGAGCTTGCAGGTGCAGGAGAAAACACACTAGGCTGCACCTGTCCCCTCCCTCCCTCCTATAAAAAAATCCCCCACTCTGCTATCACTCCCTGGCCCTATTTTTCACCTGAAGTTGACTATCATTTTAAGTGCACTTGAGAGCTCCGTCCTTGAGTATCCTGGGATTTTAAAAACCATCCTTAGTCATCATGACATTTGGGGTCTGAACTGAGTCACCTGCAGGGGAAAGGTGGCTGGAATCCTACCTCCGCAAGATCAGTCAACATCTCCAGCTTGTCCTTGTTCTAGGTTCCTAGAGTACTGATAAAGTTCCCATATGCCTGACATTGCCTCTTATGATCCCAATGGTAAGAAGCTGCTCTGACTCCCTTTTAAAGGTGAGGAAGTTTAGCTGTAGGATGGTCAACTGACTTACCCAAAGTGATTCTGTAGGCAGCAAAGGAAGTCTGTGAAAAATGCAGTTCCTAGTTTTGCTTGAGGGTGGAGGTCCGGGGGGATATCAGGTCTTCCAGAGTGGGATTGTGTGAAAACTTTCAGATACAAATGAGCTTCATACAGAGAGGCACACAGTGGTGATTTCTAAATTCAGAGTGTTTGGTGATAAATTCAGGGCCTCAAAACCAGACAGCCTGGCTTCAAATTCCAGCTCTGCCATACCCTAGCTATGTGATCTTGAGGAGTGACTTCACGTGTCTGTGCTTTGGTTTCTTTATCAGTCATCTGAAGATTCTGTAAAGATCAAATAGTATGTGTTTACATGAACAATCTCCAAGGATGAAAGGAATTAACATGTGTACTGGACATGTTTGGAACATAGTTTACTAGAAATCAGTTATTATTCACATGGTTAAGATCACTCCCTCTGGAGTCAGATCTAGGGTATGAAGCCCCGCTCTGCCACTTTTCAGCTGGATGACCTTGGGTTAGTTACTAACCTCTGCCTCAGTTTCCCCATTTGCAAAATGGAGATATGAGTGCACATTTCATATGGTTGTTGTGAGGAGTAAATGAAATATTACCTGTAGGGGACTTAGCACAGTGTATGGTTCATAGTGAATGCACATTAAATGGTAGCTATTATTGCTGATGCTGCTGGAATCATCACCTGTTAGTATCTCAAGTCAGGCCATATTCAGTTCAGTAATCATTCATTGATGCCTAAACTTGGACAGGGACAATCCTGGGCATGGGGGGTCCGATGATAAACAAAACATGGTCACTTTTCTGAAGGAGTACATAGTCTAATTCACCTTCCAGGGCCCCATTGCCTAACATTTGTCCCCTTTATACCTTATCAAGTCTGGAATGTCAACTCCAACAAATTAATAGGGGTTGGCTAAAGAATGTGTTGAGAAGGATTCTGAGGTCATGTCACAGAAAGAGTGCTATGATGGATTAGTGATGTCTGCCACCAGCATCATACAGAGATGGGCAGCAATTACGCCACATGTGACTTAGATTTCAGGTCTGGCTTCTCCAGTATGATGCAAACTCCAGTTCTTCCATTAGCTTATCAAAATATAAGCATCTTATTCTCATTTTGTCAGAGTATTTCTGTTTTCTCCCAGATGCGAGCAGCCCACCCTAACTGAGACATATCACTATGCTGTTTAATGAATACAAATATGTGGGATACAACTGCTGCCTATCCTCAGTACTGTGCCGGTGGCAGACATCACTAATCCATCAGAGCATTTTTCCTGGGACAAAACCTCAGCATCCTTCCTCAACACATTCTTTAGATGGCCGGCACTAATTGGATGGAGTTGACATTCCAAATAAAAACAACATGCCACGCATGTCTTAATTATAATTCTGTACCTATTAGTATTATTCTTTCATTAGAAAAGGGGGAGACCAGGGACAAATGATTCTAGGATTTACAAACCCATACACTCTAGAGCAGGAGCTAGAGAGATTTTTATGCATCCTTCCTCCTAGTGATCCAAAGAGGTAGAACCTCCAGCTCAGAGAAACAGCTACCCCTCAACCTGAGTCAGTTCAAACCCACCTCACTGACATTACTGTGTTAGTTACGTTGGGTAAACGCCTTACTTCCACTGTGCCTATCACTTCTCTGAGTACAATGGGGCTAATCATCACCTACCAGCATCAAGGGACATCATGGTACTTGACAGTCTATGCCCATTTCCAAAAGTCCAGTGAACAGTGAATGATTCAAATAATTACCAAGATAATGGGAAATATGATAATGAGACCGATTTATGTCTTTGTGCCTTTAAACAGGATCATTCTTCATTCTGTATTTCTTCATATGTAATTGTAGGGAGAAAAAAGTGATTGCACTACTCAAGGTTTACTAATTATCACTTACTGGAAGTTCTACCTTTTGTCTAATTTAAATTCCGCTTGTGCTCTTTAGTGTCCACTTCTCTTCTAGATTATACATATGAACTGCTTCAAAGGACCCTGGACAGACATAGGTAAACCAGGAATCCTCCTTCCTTGGTTGCATAGTTCCCTAGAGTTTACAAGACAAATACATTTATAATACATTCATTGATGTCTTAGATAATAATAGCTGTACTTTTCAAGTATATGTTACTATGTTCTATATTATAGTAACCACTTGTGCTAAACCCTTGATAAACATTAACTCATTTAACCCTTGCGAAAGCCTTATGAGCAAGGAACTTCCATTGTCTGAATTCTGCAGGTTTGGAAACTGAGTCTCAGAGTGGTAAAAGGATTCAGTATGTGCAGACTACACAGTGGAAGAGAACTGGGTACACTGGAGGAGGAAGCTGAAGGCTAGAGAACACAGCGATGAAAGAATGGAGGAGAAATGGAGAGTCAGTGATGGAAGAATATGCTCCGCAGGAATAAATGAGGGAACTGCCATTATTTTACCCAATTTTAAAAGCCAGTGATACTATGTCATTATTTCTCAAAGTGAGGCCCCCTGGAACCTTGAAGGTACTCCCCCCAAAAGTTTTAGGTGGTCCCCAGGCAGACAAAGTATTAAATGACATAGCGCAGGATCACATCAAGTACTCCTTTTATCGACTGTCTTACTGGCCTTTGATTATTATCTTCAGAAGTAAAACTCCATGCCTTGATTTTCTTGAAATGTCTTGAACACATCTCTTAGCACTTATTTTTCAACAATGAGAAAGTGACTTCAGATACAGAGGCTTGGACAACTAGAAGTTAATAACATTGCTTTGCTTTCATTGAATTTATTTTTATAGTTACCTTCCATAATTGGTATATGATACTGATTTTTCATTTCTAAAACATCCTCTTTAAGTGTATTTGTTACATAAAGAGGTGATTCACTTTCTAAAATACTTTTTATTATAGAAAATTTCAAATACATAGAAAAGGAAAGAGACTAGCATAAAGAGCCCCTGTGTACTGATTTCCAATTTCAACAATTAATGATAGTTGATTTTTAAATATCTTGCTCTGATCCACTTTCCACATTCATAAATTATTTTGAAGCAAATCCAAGGCACTGTATGATTCCAGTGGTAAATATTGCAGGATGTATCTCTAAAAGACAGGAGCTGCTTTTTTTTTTCATAACTGCAATGTCATTATCACAGGAGACAAAACGAACAATTCCAT